CTGCTGCATCATGTAGATTGCTCCCTAGCCAGATATCGAACTTGTGCTGCAGTGGCTGCGGACTGCTTCATAGGTTGTGTCTTAATTCCTTGCACTACCAGGGAGGCCCACTATTGGATTTTCACAGCCTTCCATCCTATGACAAACTCTTTTTCCTAGGCCTAGGAATGTCTCTTTCAACACAGTCTCATCAACTTGGAGTTTCAATTCAGCTCTAAGGAAAAGAGTATGCTTATTATTTTCAGATTTTAATTAAGACTAGATTTTTTTTCCCCTCTATCAATTATATATATATACATATATATTTTTATTGTTCCAGGAGATCTTATTTTATCTTGTTTTATTTTTATTTTTATTGTTCCAGGAGATTTTATCTTGTTTTATTTTGGTCAGTTTTTTTTTTTATTTTATATATTTTTTTACTTCATTTTTCGTACAAAAATGAAGAGTATGTTTTTTAAAGTTGAAATAGTTTCTCTATTCCAACCTCAGCCACTACCTGGTTTTGTGACTTTATAAATCATATCCTCCTTCTGAGTCTCAACATTCTTCCCTGCTGAAAGGGGATAAATGTCCCTTCACAGAATTGTGAAAATAAAACTAAAATAAATGCCAAAAGTGACCAAAGTATAGTGAATGACAAATAGTAATAACAACAGGCATTAATTTCCTTCTCTTTCCCTTTGATATAGCCTGTGTTCCTGAGGGAGAGAAAGATACAATTACTCCTTCCCACAATATTAACTCAACCAGTACTACAGCCAAGTCAAAGATGGCAGGGCTAGACTCAAACTTCTGCTTAAAACCTTCCAATTCCCTATTATTTGGGGGAAAAAAAAGATATTTGGGGAAAAATACAATGGAAAAAAATTCATATTCATTACCATTGCCAACAAGGCCCTACAACAACAGGGTCCCATCCCACCTCTCCATCACCTACTACTGCATTCACTCCAGAAAGTTAAGTACCCTGCTTCTCAAGCATGCCAACTTCAACCCTACCTTGTTCTCAGTTGCCCAAGTCAAACTTTTCCTGCTTCTTTGTATGCCAAGTTTCCTCTTGGTATCAGTAGGCCCTCAGCTTGTATGTATGTTTCTCAGAGAAGCATTTCTTCACTATTCCTTCATTAAGAGTCCTCCCTTCCAACCCACTCTCAAGTCTTTCTCCACTACCACATTAACCTATTTTATTTTCTTCAAAGCATGGTTTCCTATTTTATTTCATGTTACTTTGTTAACTTGTTTTTCCATCTCCTCACTAGTATACAAGTTCCGCAAGAATCTTATGTTTTGTTCTTATGAATCTTACACACTTAAAACTGTGTAAGTTTACTTACTCATTTACACATATGTGTGCTTATATCTATCAAATGCATTCTACTTAATTGCATTTTCAAATTAACAAGTGAAAGAGATTTACATACACAGGAATTATCTGTGCACTGAGTTCAGCAGTGGCTTAAAGATCTATAAAAGGTCCAAGTTCCTAATGTGCCAAGGGTTCTTCTTAGCATCCACTTGTGAAGCATATTTATCATGGGGTTATAGCTCCTGATACCCAATAAAAGAATATTTGATTTGGAATCTTGCTTCAATCTCCCAATTCCAAACCCAGTGGTAATTATCTCACTATAAAATTTGCCTCTAGCATCAAGGCTCTGGAGTTCAAATCCCAATTATATCTTTTACATCCAATGTGGTCTTGGGCAAGTTTCCTCATCCACTAAATGAAGACAACAGTAATTTCCATAGAGTTATTCTGAAGATTAAATAAACTAAAATGTCTGCCACAATGTCTGATACACAATAGAAATTAGCTATTATTTTTACTCATTCACTCACAATTTTGGTATCTACTTTGTTCTAAGTCATGTGGCTATTCAAGAGGCACAGGCATAATTCCAGAGGAATTAGTTACAGTTCCTACCCAAGAAGAGCTCACAGTTTAACCGGGGAGATAAATCCATAAACAATAAACATAAAGAATTATTAGGAGTGTAATATGTACCAACTCTCATCCAGGAAAGACAAAAAAATCTGCCCTTCTCTAACAAATCAAATCTGGTATTAGAGAGTAGTCTCTAGGGTAAAAAGGCACATCAAAACCATTTCAATTTATAATGTGGAATAGCTTCTGCGATGGGTCAGAGCAGTTCTGTAAAGAAGTCTTTACAAGATTATAAGAATGGTCAAGAATGGGGCCTCCCTGGTAGTGCAAGGGGCTAAGTCTCAGCACTATGAGGCTATCTGCAGCCACTGCAGCATGAGTTCAATCCCCGGCCATGGAGGTGACCAACATGATGCAGCAGACCTCTCCTTTCTGGCCCGCTACTCCCCTCAGCAGTGTATTTCAGTAGATCTGCCTATTCTGTTCCCCACTCTGTCTCTGGTGGTGAATGTTCTCACCCCTGGCCTGCACCCCAGCTCTTGTATGCATAAATAAATAAATCTAAGAAAACAACAACAACAAAGAATGATCAAGAATAACTATTAAAGTCAAAAGGTGAAAGCAACTCAAATGGTCCATCAACAGATAACAGGAAAACAAAATGTGATATATGCATACATTGGAGTATTATTCAGTCTTAAAAAAGTGGGAAATTCTGGCACGTGCTACAGTGAGGAGTGAACCTATAGGACATTATGCTAGATGAAGTAAGCCAGCCACAAAAAGACAAGACAAACTATGAGGTATTCATAGTAGTCATATTCATAAAGACATAGAATGTGGTTGCAGAAGCTGGTGAGAGAAATAGGAAGTTAGTGTTAGGTAGAGTGTTTCAGCTGGAGAAAAAGATAAAGTTCTAGATATGGATAGTGGTGATGATTATACAACAATGGACATACTTAATGTTACAGAACTACACTTAAAAATGAAAAAAAATGGTTAAAATGGTAAATTTTATGTCATGTATATTTTACCACAATAAAAAATAGTAATTGTCCTGTGACTGAGAGAGAAAGAGAGAGAGCGAGCGAGAGAGAGAGAGACAGAGACAGAGACTGATTCTACATTCTCCTCTTTAGTGACTTCCCTGATAATTCTTGCATCTGGTAGCATATCTACCCAGCTTCTCCCAGGTTAAAACATGAGAAGAATTCCCAGACAGTCCTCATACAGAGGATGCTGTGTAATGTAGTCAATCTAGTAACTACGAGTATATAAAGAATTTATAGGAAAATAGCCAGATGCTACACAATGCTGATAGGTTTATTTTCACACATGTAAGAGAGGTAGAAAATAAAACAAAACATTTGTTTGCCTAATTTCTAAAGAAACACAAAAGTCTCTGGAAAAAACAATTGCTCGATGTAGAGTAAATTTTATGTATCAGTGTCAAGGCCTCATAATACAACTTTATTGTTTCAAATTTTTAAAAAATAGTGTTAATTCATTAAACAAAACAACTTTCATATACTCAACAAAAAATGCCACAACTGATAGTCCTATAAAATGACATGACTTGCCAATGGTCCAGAATGATGGGAAATAAATCCCAAGGACTTACTTCAGACAGAAAATAGAGAGCAGACTGTGGTCTTGCATGATTAAAGGAATGGTTTCTTAAAAATCTGAAGCAGAGCCTCCCCTGGTGGCGCAGGCAATTGAGCACGATGCTGTGAAGCTGTCCGCAGCCTCTGCAGCGCCGGTTCGATCCTGGCCGACCGGCGAGGGTCCCACATGGCGCTGCAGACCTCTCTTATTGCGCCCGCTGCTCCCCTCAGCAGTGTATTTCGTCAGTCTGCCTGTTCTGTTCCCCACTATTTCTGGTGAATCCTCTCACCCTCCCATGCATCTGGCCTGTACCCCTGTTCTTGTATAAATAAATATCTTAAAAAAAAAATCTGAAGCAATAAAATTGTATTATGAGGACTTGGCACTTATATATGAAATTTACTCTACATAGAGCAATCATTTTTTTCCTCAGAACTTTCTCGTTTCTTTAGGACTTAGGTAAACCAGTATTTTCTTTTCTTTTCTTTTTTTTTTTAAAGAGATTTATATTATTTATTTATGCATACAAGAACTGGGGTGTAGGCCAGAGGTGCAGGGGTTGGAGGTAGGTGAGAGGAGTCACCAGAGACAGAGTGAGGGGCAGAACAGGCAGATCTACTGAGATGCAACTGCTGAGGGGAGCAGCTGTCGAGACAGGAGAGGTGTGCTGCATCATGTGGGTCAGCTCCCTGGCTGGGGAGCACACTCGTGCTGCAGTGGCTGCCGACTGCTTCACAGTGCTGAGACTTAACCCCCTGCGCCACCCAGGCAGGCCCTGTTTTGGTTTATTTTCTACCTCTCTTCCCATGTGGAAATAAACCTATCATTGTACAGCATCTGGATGTTTTGCTGTAAATTCTTGCTTACCTCAGCGCCATCTATAGTCTGCTAGCTTCTTCCCAGCAGTTGCCTAGGTAAATAAGGACTGGAATAATAGTGACAACTTCACAAAGGGAAAAATAAGAAATGACATGTCTTTCTATTAGTTGCAAAGACTCGAGAATCCATAACTTCTTTACTGCATCCAATTTTCTTGAACAGAAATTTACTTCATCTACAATACTTCAAAGTCAAATGTTACCTTTATTTTTACCCTATCAAATCATAAAATCAAGGACAGGGTGGCGTCAGGACATGAGTTATGGTTAGCACCATAATAATTCTTAATAAATGGTTAAAGTTAGAACCAAGTTCATAAACAATGAGATGAGAGGAGTCAGAAAAATCCCCTGACTTCTTGCATTTCAGAAAGACTGTTTCTTCTGACAGAAATACATAGGTGCAAGCAACCTCTGGGTGGGTAATGCCACCAAACAAAAGCAACACCTTCAAAGTCTCTCTCAGTGAGCAGAGGCAGCCAGACATTCAAACTGCCAGTCCTGAATTACAGCCTCTGAATGGTGAGGGCTTCACATTTCACTCATCAGGGCACAGCCCAATCAGAAGACAAACCCCTGCACTGCCAGGGAGCAGCAAATCCGCTTTCTTCCAGTGCGCACATGACTGAATGTGCTTCTGTCCATCATCTGGGTCATATATAGTTCAATGCGAGCTGAGCAGACAGGGCTGCAAGGAAATCTGGCGCGGTTCAATACCTTGTCTAGCCTGGGTTCCAGTATCTAATTTTTTGACTGACAAACTCATTTCTCTACCGGGACAGGATGCTGTGCTGGCTGGAAGTTCCATTTCTACAGCAAGAATCCTATCTGGAAACACAGAAGTTGTCCTCTAGCCACAGCAGCTTGAACTTTTTTGATTGTTGTTGCTGCTTTTTCCCATCACCCCCACCCCTTTTTGACAAAGATCCAACTGTAAAAAGTCTTACGTAACAGTTCAGGACTACTTCGGTTCTTTTACTGGGTAAGCACTTTCAATTTTTTTTTTTTTAACTAAAACCATTTTAACATTGAATTTGTTGAGAGACTTGACTAAAATCTTTTAAGTAATTTGTGTAGTGAAATACTGTCAGTGGATTTTTTAGTCTCATTTCTGCACGTGCTCCTTTGTTCTCAGAACAGAAGCTTTTTATACACACCCCATAACGCAGCTGGAGAGAGTTATGAAGTCAGTTATTATAAGGAACACAAAGGTTGCTTTACATTCTTTGCCTTTAATTAATTTTGTATTTGTTTTCTTAAAATGCACTATTTAAAGAAGGGAGAAATTCACAAAAGAATAAACTGTTGGAGAATCTAGCAAAGTTTGAAGTTTTTACCACCTTTTCTATCTGTAGTTTTGTGTGGCCAAACACTTGTGCCGCCTGGGGCGGTGGGGGTAGAGGCAAGCGTAGACAGAGAGGAACTAAGCCAGACATGGACAAAGGCATGAGCCAAAACCAGACAGTCCTGGCCGTTCGATAGGCCAGCAGTGGGTGAGACAGGTCAGCCAGCTGCAAGGGCGGGAGGGAGGGGAAGGGGTATGGATGTGTGAGGTGCTCATGCGTGCGATCGTGACTAGATTCTGAAACTGCCAGCCATTTTCCCAGCTATGCTTTGTGTAATCTAAAGGAATGCATCTCCTCTGAAGCAGTCTAGCCAGAGCCCAGTGATAGAGCGGAGCACGATAAAGACCATGGCATATGGGATCAGAAAATGCTGGAACTCTGGGGTGGGCGAGAGGGAATGTCGAGGGTGTGGAAATTTTTTAGTGATCTGGAATGTGTTGAGTGACAGGAAGTGCCCCAAGCTCACCCCCACCCCCCAACTCTTCTCAGTCGCGCCTGCTTTTGTCTAACTCTTGTAATCTACACACTACTGCTTACAAAGCTGTCTGAGTTTAAGACAAAAAGAAACATAAAAGGCTCTCCATTCCATAGTACCTGTGATATGGAAAGAATGTAGAAAACATGACCCTTCAAGCCTGTGGACATTTTTTCAAGTATATAGGACAAAGATAAAATAATAATTTTCAAAGGATAAATGAAAATGAAGAATTACAGTCTAGCTTCCTAATCTTATTTTTAAAAAATTCCTGATTTGCTATACTTAGAAAAGGCTTTTAAGTTGGTTCCTAATTGAAAGAGGCTTGTTTTGTTTGGTTAACATATTACTTTTTAAGTTTTTTAATTTTCTTTGTATAAATTTGGACTTTGGGAGGGAAAACGCAAATAACTAGTATGTACTCAGAAGACTTTCCCCTTACTGGCATTTTAGAGAATCGGTTTCTTGGAAAAAGCAGTTCTCGTCCTCATTTTTGATTGTATATGTTATAAAGGTACCTTTATGCCATAATAAATGAAAGGTAGAAAACTTTTGACAGAAAATAGTGTTCTACGTGAAAACAAGTTAGCATTTCTCCAAACTTCCGTATTATATGTCAACAGAAATACTAATTCTCAAGAGAAAAGTAGCCAGATAATAGACTAGTTAACCCTACCTTTGGAGGAATGAAATAGAAAATTAAGTGTGAATAAAATGATACTTGGGAATGTTTCTACCTCCTACGACAAAGGATACTGCTGGTCAGTCTAGGAGTTAATCTTTCCTAGTGTGGCTCTCAGTCTTCATGCCAAGCAGATGTTATTCACATGACGATACGAAAAGTCCATTCATATATCTCACTACCTGGATTTGAATAGAAACCAGACAGCAATTCTTTAGTCCCAGCCACCATTCGCCCCACTGGACAATAGCGATTTGTTAGCACAGAGTCACAGGCTGTGGGACACAAAGCTTGGCGTTGCAGAAAGATGGGGGATTCAGAGAACAGGAAATTACAGGCCTGATGCACTCCTGGCAGCTCTGAGAATACAAAAAAAAAAAAGGCAACACAGCGATGCCATGTTTAAGAGCTACTCTAGTTTTTTTTAACCACCTCCAGTGTCATAAAAGCTCTATTGTTGGAGTACATAAAGTCACGAGTCCCATGTGCTCCCTTTTCTCACTACAGGGAACTTCATTCAGTACCCTGGCACAGTCAGAAAAATCAAAAGCACCCAGAGTTGATTAGTTGTGAACTTTGGTAGAAAGGAGAGAAGCACTGTCAAAGAAAAAAATATGCTTGTTAACACAAGAAGTAAAAAATTAGTATTATAAAAAAAAAAAAATCATAAGATCAAGATAATCAAAATGAAACCAAAGGTGTAAGACTCCAGGGAAAGAAATGTTTCTTTCAAAATACAGAAAATCTATCATCTAACTCCATCCAAAGTTTCTTCAGAAGACATATGTCAACTTAAAAACTAATCTTACAAAGAAAACATCTGAGTTCTGGGTTATATTTTCCAAAACAAAATAATCAAAGTCCTAAGGATTTATTTTATTATATTAGAAAGTTTCCTTTGTTGATTATCAGTATATAATAAGTTCCCTGGCTAAATTTAAAAACTGCCTCTACTGTCCTCTCTTTAGAGTTAATAAAAAAGATCACCGGACATTCTAGGTAAGGGGAGAGAGAATTCTCCAATCTCAATGGGTAGAGGCAAACAGTACACGGGTCCCTGTTCAGCAACTCACGCAGCAACCTGCGTGCCAACAGGCCAGAAGGGTGTTCACTTCAACAGGAGACCCTGCATAATGAAGCTGTAGTGGACACCTCGAAGAAGATTTTGAAACCAAACTTCATTTTTCATCTGTAATAAAGAGATTATGGAGAATGTTCAGATAGTGGCACATGCAGTAGTGGCCAGAGTAATTAAGATGCTCCAGCGTGACAGTGTCAAAAAGTTCCTTGTAAATTATGAAAAAACTAAGTCTATAGTCTCACAAAAATCACTATTATGGATTATGTGGAACAGCAAAGAACAAGGTTTTAAAATCAGTCAAACCCGGATTTGATTATCAGCATCTACCACACAAGCTAGATGATACTAGGAAAATGCATTAACTTTGCTTAGATGTGCATCTTTATCTGCAGAATGGGGAAACAGCCACCCAACAGGATACATGGAAGGATTCACAATAAAGCACATAAAGAATCTAGTAAGGCATGAACACAGTTGCAATTAAAAAAAGGATAGCTATTACTTATTACTATATTTTCCCCCTTAAATCATCATGATGACTCTTTGTAGACAGATAATACTCAACATACAGGGAAGTATTCATCAAGTATCCTAAAATACTAATGGAGGCTATGTCAGTATTTCAACCAGAGTAAAATGAAAATGTTCCTTTGCTAACCAGCTTTTCCCAGCCAATGTGTGACCATGCAACCTGACTTTGCCAGAAAAATCTCAAGCTATAGTTGGTTCAAATTATCAGCATGGTTGCTGTGTATTCACAGTCTTTTATACTATGGGCCTGTGATGTTTCAGATAGAAGAACAATGATCTGTAGCTAAGAACTAAACTTTATCCTGAGGAATGCATGCACATTGCTAAGTGACTATAAAGCAATGGCTTCCAAATACTGGGAACCTGATGCCTGTTCAAGAAAATGGAAAGGGTTATTTTAGAAGCTTCATTCTCCCGGTTGAGATTACTGAAGCAGAATATGCATATGAAAAACTGCATATGAAAATCTCTGAAGAAATATTAAACTGAAGCATTTTTTCATGGAACATTTAAATAACCTAGAATATAATAATAGTAGTAATGAACTGGCAAAACATTTAGTGCCTTACGGCCTTCAATTATGAACTCAGTTTATGGTCAAGACTAGCTGCAGTGAATTATGCCTCCTCAAGGTTTTAGTGCTTAACAAAACAAAATCCAAGTGATTTCTATCATGACTACATGCCTTAACCTCCAACTCTACATGTCAAGTGAACTAGACATAATAAACATGGCCAAGACGTTCTTAGATTTTCATGCTATTCTCAAGTTATCCTGCAAGGTACAAAATGAGTATCTAGGTACTATGCCTGCTGGGCAAAAGAAACATGGATCGTAGGGTCAAGCGGGCATGGGTTAGAATCCTAGCTCTGCCAGTTATTACTATGTGATCTTAGGCCACTTCCTGTCTTTTGTCTCAGACTCTTCATGCACAAAATACAAATATTAATATCTTCCTGCCATGTAGTTTTAAGTTTTAAGGCTCACGTGTCATTATGTGAAACATCTTTTCCTGGCACATGGAAAACACTTCAAAAATATCAATTCTGTTAAAACACAGTTAAAGATTTGAAGTCCAATTGATTTTCTGAAACTCTTCCCAATTGGAAATAGAAGGGTTCCAAGCTGATTTACAGCACAGGTCATTCTCTGTTTTAATTTAATAAAGACAAACATGTGACAATAAAGCTGTCAACACAATGCAAAGAATTCAAATCACAGAAACAAATAATAAACTTATTGACTGAGTATGGGAAAATTATTACTTGAATAATGACGTATAACATCAGATTTTAGTATTATCAGCATAATTTGATACTATACTAATTTAATACTTAAGTAAAAATACACAAATCATTTTATTGAAAGTAGCATTTCCTAAAGACTCATGGTATAAAATTTCTATTAATTTGTCTTGGTGATTAAAACAAAAACCTAAAAGAAAGTTCTAAAATATTACCCATTATTGGGAAATTAAAGTAGTCTCCTGCAGGTACAGGAAAGAAAATTCATACCTTTTAAAATCAAAGCCACAGAAGAAATTTCTGGAACCTATGTTTTCCTATTATATCTACAGACTTTCGCAGAACCAGAAATAAAAGGTGTTTCATAATGATGCCAAATAAATGAAAAATGTTGGACATGTCATATAACCTTTTAAAGCACATACAGTAGTAATAGGCTTTCCAAAGCAAACAGCAGAAGTATGAGGGAGATAGTGTATTGTAGTGGGAAATCTGAAAAGGCAGATTTATCTCCCAAAAAATGTATTTATACTAGAGAATAAAGGACAACTAGAAATTAGAGGTGAGAAATCTGGATTTCCCAACAGAGTATTCAAATTCATCCTCTGTACAGTGTAGCTACT